TCGACGTATATATAAAATGTTTTAATTTTTCAAAACACGGTCAACATATTGTGTCCCTTTTATTTTATAAAATGTAAAAATATATTTTATAAAACATACATGCAACAAATTATTTCTTATTTAAAAGTTAAAATATTTAATCCTTGAAAATGGCTAAATGTATAGCCGAAAGCGCTCGGACAGTTTTTATATAATTTATCATCCGAAAAGAAAGAAATTATGAGATCACATGAGAAATTGTATAAAAATCTAAATCAAAGAACCTTTGTCTGTCGTATTCAATGAAATGTGCATGAAAGAAGGATTGCTGCCTACATACACAAATTTAAATATATGTATATGTATGTATGCATGTTTTGGGGCAGTTGATCATTACTTAAACATATATTGATAAATATAACAGATAATGAATGTTTATTATCTCACACCAAGAGCTAATGTTTGAATGTTTGCTTTAACATAAACCATTCTCAGAGTGGTTATACATGACGGTAGATATCTTTGTTTCATTGCTGTATAACCATTCTGATGATGGCTCATGTGGGACGAAAACTTAGGGCCAACTTAGTAAAAAAATACTCAAATGTTGGACAATTTTTCTCTTTTATTTCACCAGAAATTAACGCAAACATACGACCATTAGAACGGCTCACGAACAAACATAATAGACATTCATTGTCTGTTATATTTAATAAGCAATATATATATATATATATATATATATATATATATATATATATATATATATATATATGTAAAAGTAAAAACAGACCACTTTAATGTACCATTATAATAATTTATTTCACCAGAGCCCTTTTAAAGGACGGCGGATCATCAGATAGCACTCCCAAAAATGATTCGTTTCATTTCATTTTTGAAAGTGCTATCTGATGATCCGGCGTCATTTTAAATGGACTCTGGTGAAATAAATTATTATAATGGTACCTTAAAGTGGTCTGTTTTTCTTTAAAATATTAGCTCTGGATTTACATTGAACTCTCAGTATTAACTCCTCTTTGGAATTACCCATACGGATTACCAAGTTTTCATAACTTAAATATATATATATATATATATATATACATATATATATATATATATATATATATATATAGATAGATAGATAGATAGATAGATAGATAGATAGATAATATCAGTGGTAAATATACACACATACATACGCAAAATATATAAATATATATACATACATGCATACACATACATATATATTTTTTGAATAAAAAAATTCCAAGAGGATAGAATCCAGGTAGAACTCAATGTCCAGGACAGAGTAAGGATATAATAAAAAGGCTTAAACACTAATATTTCATGGTCAGAATTTATTCAATTGGAATCGTAAATTCATCAGACCTACAAATTTGTAGGTCTGATGAATTGGATCGTATTTACGATTCCAATGGAATAAATTATGACAATGGAATATTAGTATTTAAGCTTTATTATATATATATATATATATATATATATATATATATATATATATATATATAGATAGATAGATAGATAGATAGATAATAACTTTTATTGAACAAAAATAAATAACAGTAGTTTGACAAAATTTATAAGTATTGAATGTGACAAAACAATATGGGTTGTTTTAACAAATTATTTGCAATGTTCAAAATTCTCTCCTTCATGTTCCATAAAATGCTAAACCATATCAGCGACGCTTCTAAAATCCATTTAATATAATTAAATATTAATTTCAAAAAATCTATCAGAAATTGCTTGTTCTAATTCAAGAATTCAGGAATTGTCTTCAGTCTGAGCTTTTCAGTAAACACCACTAAAAATGCCTGTTGGGGCTACGTCTGGTGATTGCAATAGCAACTGAAAAATGTCTGGTGATTTGAGGTCTGTTGGTGTTAGGACTGGTAGTGTTAGGGAAGGTGGTGTTCGGTCCGAAGGTGTTGTGTCCGAAGGTGTTAGCTCTGTTGATTGTGATAGCCACACAATTGCTCCACGTTGTTCTATCCACCTGAGCTCAAAATTAAAATTTAACCATTCCCACATGCGTATGCCATAGTGGGACGGCGGGCCATCCTATTCGAAGTAAATATCATTCTGATTTCTGACTCTCGGCCAGAATTCAGTCCTCAAGATATATATATATATATATATATATATATATATATATATATATATATTAATACTAGTACTCGTTTGGAAAACCTCGGATAGCTCAACTTGCAAAATTGTCAGGAAAAATCGGTACAAATTGGAAATAAAAAAAACGAACTAAAAAGATCAGAACAAGACGAAACCAATCGCCTAATGCTTTAAGTCCTTAGACCAAAGAAATAAAAAAAAAACAAACGGGTGGAAATACTAAAACGTAGAGTGCTCAATAAAAGCTAGGCAGTTTTACCAGGCTCCTTAGGATTTATTCCATATATATATATATATAAAATGTCAATCGCAAACAGTACTGTTTCACTGTATCACAGCTCCTCAGTGTGACTAGACATCCGAATGCATCCTGTTGAAAGTAAATATATTGCGTATATATATATATATATCGTGTGCGTATATATATATATATATATATATGCACAATATATATATATTTATTGTATGTGTATATATATATATATATATATATTATTGTGTAAATATATTGTATATATATATATATATATATATATATATATATTAAGAAATGGACAAAGTCCGACAACTTATTTATTAAAGACATTTTTATGTTTAACGTTCTTTTTTATAGATACAAGTATTTAAGTAAATGCTCTGTTTATAATAAACAGTATTAAACAACATTTACCGGCGTGAATGTCCGAGAAATTTTCATAGAAAATATTCGTTCTTTGACAGGATTCGAACCTGCATCCTATACGGAACCGTCATTTAAGCTGACGTAACCTCTCGGCCACAAAGGAGCGTTCGGTAGGCAAGGTCGAATTTACTGCTTATAAACTTCAATCTTCCATGAATCTCGTACATTCATAACTGCTCTGGCGTATCAAATGTAAACAAATGACGTCATATATTAAGAAATAGACAAAGAGGTTAGGCACGTCAAGCTAAATGATGATTCCGTATCGGATGCAGGTTCGAATCCTGTCAAAGGACGAATATTTTCTATGAAAATTTCTCGGACATTCAGGCCGGTAAATGTTATTTAATACTGTTTATTATAAACAGAGCATTTACTTAAATACTTGTATCTATAAAAAAGAACGTTAAACATAAAAATGTCTTTAATATATATATATATATATATATATATATATATATATTCGCATACAGTACTGTTTCGCTGTATCCCAGCTCCTCGGTGTGACTAGACATCCGAATGCATTCTGTTGAAAGTAAATATCATTTTGACTTCTGACTCTCGGCCAGACCGCAAGATATATATATATGTATATATAGCGTAAATATATATATATATATATATATATATATATATATATATATATATATATATATATATATATATATCGTGTGCGTATATGCATATATATATATGCACAATATATATATTTTTATTGTGTATATATATATATATATATATATATATTGTGGCAATATATTGTATATATTGGAAATATATATATATATATATACATACATATATATATATATATATATATATATATATATATATTCGCAGACAGTACTGTTTCGCTGTATCACAGCTCTTCTGCGACTAGACATCCGAATGTCTCAAGGAATGAAACCCAACCGATTTGGTGTCAGTCAGAGTTTCTACCACTGAGCTATCTTCATTCGGCAGAGTTAAGCAGCTAAATGTAGCGTATTTTTTACGAATGTAAACAAATACCAAACAGCCAAGTGCTCCATTCATTTTACTGAAAAGATTTGCATTAGCGCATATATATACATATATATATATATATATATATATATATATATATATGTGTGTGTGTGTGTGTGTGTGTGTGTGTGTGTGTGTGTGTAATTTAGCGTTCCTCTCATGAGTTCCAGTATATTATTTCATTTTAGATCATAATTTATATCTCGTGTCTGATGAGTTGGCAAAACAACGAAACTTAAGTCGCATCCTAAACGTAGATATATGTATATTTATTAATATATATTTCTTAACTCTGTCTAACTACATAGACGACTGTTATGTTTACACTTTCAAGCAAATTTAGTAAATATGTATGACCCAAAGAAAATATTTTATGATCTATAAACTATATATCTAAAAAGAAACATACGTTTACTCTGGGAGTATAAAATTATGTAAAAAATATGTGCAGTTAAGAGTATAACATCACACACAGCTTATTTAGATGTCGGCTTTGAATCACCCATTGAGGTATTGCTAGACCGATAAGAAAATTAACAAACTCACCAATATAGTGAATGGACGAAATTATGTTCAACAATTAGTGTAGAGAAGGTCGCTCGTCTTTCCGCACAACAAATGGAGACAATGTCGTTTGAATCTTTTGTGTCGCAGGAAATTGAGGTGAGTTGACGCCTGTTCTTTGACATGAATCCGGTGTTTTTGTCGTCTGCTGTGGCCTCTTCATTTTGCTACATCCAAAGCAATTTTGAACAGATAAGGTGCAAGTCAGTCATCTTGTATTAATACTACTAACGTAGAAAGAAATGTCAGCCATATTTGTATAGATTTTATATATTTCGCTGTTGTTTTATTTCAAAGAAAACCAATTTTAATGTGTTCTGTAGACTCAATCGGCATTTAAAGAAAATCTGTTTTCCTAAGTAGGTTTCTTTTTTTTTTTAATTATTTTTTTTTCTTCTTTCCATTTAATTCCTTGTTTCTTTCTTTTTGGCATAAGTCCATGACGCGTGTCATTTTGAAATTTCTAAAGCATTGCCCGTAAAATAAGAAGTAAATATTTTACTTTTTATGCAAAGACAAACAAAAATAGATTGCGTTTGTACAAATAAGGACAACGTCTGAACGACTCTGAAATCAGAAAAGAGGTAAGACAATATTCTTTGAAGAATTTTCTTTCCAATCAATAAAAGATGTGTGTCTGAGAGAAGAACTGATAAGGGTAAGGATAAAAGAAAAAAAGATGGAGGGTTGAGAGAGAGAGAGAGAGAGAGAGAGAGGAACGAAAGAAACGTTTTGGAATGAAGAAAAGATAGAAAAGGAGAAAGGGAAGATGGTGGAAGAAAAAGAAAGATGGCGGAATGAACTGATAAAAAAAGAAATGGAAGGAAATATGGAAGAAGCGACGAACGGGTTGAAGTGACAGATGGAAGGAAGAAGAGATTGTAAAAAGAGACGAGAAGATGAGAGGACAGACGAAGATGAGGAAAGGATAGGGACGAAAAGATGATTGGAGGAGGAAAGGACGAACGAATGGACGGTGAGGTGATAGGCGAAAGCGAAATTCACGAAGGACAACTAATCGACAGTCGAAACAGTAGTGTCTGGTCATGATGAAAATGCACCCCGAAAATAGATTCTGCACGCCACTGCAAATGACCTAACTGTCACTTCAGTGGGTCTAAAACCCACCGTATTGTGAAAGAAATGAAACTAAAGCGTTTTTTTTTTATTCATTTGCACACCCAGATCTATAGATTGGCAGAGGTCTGGACAATGGATGATTCGTTCGAGGAGATTACAACTTGGCAAAATTTTGATTAGTCCATTCTTTTCTTAATGTCGACTGAATTGTGCAAAGGCATGCGTCTAGCAACCCTCCGTTGATAGTCAATACTATGTAGATACGACACACTCACATCACCGGCCGTTGCTATGTCAGAAGCCACCTCTGTTACCTCGACCTCCACACTCAACTAAACACCTCTGAAAACTGTACGTGGGTCCAGTTTACCAATAACATATAGATACATGCTTTCCTTCATGTCTAAACTGAGTGATGACTCTATTCACTGTAGTAAGAGGGATAGTAAGGCTTTTCTACAATTCTTGTCACGTCAGTCTGATAGCAGTAATGGGAATATTAGCCGTTTCCCCGTAAGGCGATAAACATGTAATTAAGACAACAACAGAATATATATATATATAGATAGATAGATAGATAGATAGATAGATAGATAGATATGAAAAGACTGAGATAGATATGAACAGATTGAGAGCAATAGATAGATAGATAGATAGATAGATAGATAGATAGATAGATAGATAGATAGATTTGAAAAGACTGAGATAGATATATAGATGGATAGAGAGAGAAATAAATAAATAAATAAATATATAGATATGAAAAGACTGAGATAGATAGATAGATATGAAAAGACTGAGATAGATATGAACAGATTGAGAGCAATAGATAGATAGATAGATAGATAGATAGATAGATAGATAGATACGAAATGAAGAAACTGAAAAAGATAGATAGATAGATAGATAGATAGATAGATAGATAGATAGAAAATGAAGAGTCCGAAAAAGATAGATAGATATTGAACAAAATTATATATATTTGAACAGAATTAGAAGGATAGATAGATAGATAGATAGATAGATAGATAGACAGAAAAAAAAGAAAATGAGATAGATAGATAGATAGATAGATAGATAGATAAAGAAAGAAAGAAAGAAATATATAGTATGAAAAGACTGAGATAGATAGATAGATAGATAGATAGATATGAAAAGACTGAGATAGATATGAACAAATAGATAGATAGACAGATAGATAGATATGAAAAGACTGAGATAGATAGATAGATAGATAGAAAGAAAGAAAGAAAGAAAGAAAGAAAGAAAGAAATATATATATATAGATATGGAAAGACTGAGATAGATAGATAGATAGATAGATAGATAGATAGATAGATAGATAGATAGATTTGAAAAGACTGAGATAGATAGATATATAGAAAGAAAGAAAGAAAGAAAGAAATATATAGATATGGAAAGACTGAGATAGATAGATTTGAAAAGACTGAGATAGATATATAGATATATAGATAGATAGAGAAAGAGAGAGAAAGAAAGAAAGAAATATATAGATAAGAAAAAACTGAGATAGATAGATAGATAGATAGATAGATAGATAGATAGATAGATAGATAGATAGATCGTATTTCATTTAAGTAACGCTCGATAAGAATTCACTGAATGAATTCATTAGGACAGAAAAATAAGAAAAAACTACAAAGTAAAGGACTCGATCTTGCGGCACAAGTGCCGAATGGAGAACAATTTTTTTTTACACTTTCTCCTCATTATTGATTGATCGACCCAAAAATGAAGTCCTTTCAGTTCCATAAAGAATCGATATCGAACTCAGCGTCGATGTTTCCCGATCGATTGGTAAGGTCGTTCATCAATCAAATCGATGTCTGACTAAAAGATATCCCTAGGAAAGACACATCAGATCAAAGCGGATTTCAATAGGTTTACTTTTATTTTTGGAAACTATTTTCAAGTATCAAGTAGTATATATATATATGTATATATATGTATATATATATATATGAAGAAATATAGTTTTAAGGTGTACTATATTTATGAGATAAAGTACTCAATATCAGAGATAGAGCGTATGTAAATATAAATATAAAAGTGAACACTGAAGTCAACTCTCAGAGGCAAGAGGCTGTTTCATGCTGGAGGCAATCGTCAGGCCGCGAATGCTGGATATTTCCTTGGCTATTTATGTATATATATATAGGTCAGTGGTGAATTGTGGGTAGTCTATCGTTATTTGTACGAGAATGGCTTGTTTGTTTATTTATTTATTTGTTTCGATTAATTTATTTTACTTGAACGCAATCTTTAGGCACATGGCATGAAGATTACTTTCAAGCATAAAACACACAGCCACTTCCCGTTATTGACCACAGTGCTCAATATATATATATATATATATATATATATATATATATATATATATATATATATATATATGTATGTATGTATGTATGTATATGTAAAGTACCAGGTTGAGAACTGGCGCGAGCTAACTGCCCTTGAAGAGGAGAAAGGCTTGCTTGTTTATTTATTTGGGGCAATTTCTTTTACTTGTTTTTCATTTTCATTTTGTATTATTTATTCTTTTCGTTTTTTGATGTTTTATTAACATAGTAAAAAAAATTGAGGGGAGGATTTACTTAGGTCACTTATTTAATAGTTTGTTTTGGTCTGGGAAGATAATTAAACCTATTTATTCGTCCAATGTTTAGATTGCTTGCCGTAGTCTATTCTGTTATTTTGACGGAGGACAGTTTTTAATTTATTTATTTGGCTTGATTATTTTTACTTATTTTTTGCTTATTTTAGATTATTTTTATTTGTCATGGGTCCTTACCTATAACTACAGAATGAACTCTTCCTAACACTATGTATACTACGCCTCAAAAGAGAGGGACGAATCAAGCCGAGCTTTTCGGCTTGACGGTCGAACTCTCTGCTTTTGAGCAGAAAGGGACGGACGAGGTTCCGCCGAAGGGCAGAAATCTCGTTCGGGGTGAATGACCTACCCTGATCTCGTTTTTACGAGTTATACGGGCATATTTTGGCTGAGCCTACGGGCTCAGGGAAACCCACGATAAAATGACCTTGTGTCGCATGCAACCCTCGTGGGGGGTGGCTAGATACTGAATCAAGCCGAGCTTTTCGGCTTGACGGTCGAACTCTCTGCTTCTGAGCAGAAAGGAACCCGGACGAGGTTCCGCCGAAGGGCAGAATCGCGTTCCGGGAGAATTACCAACCCGATCTCGTTTTTACGGGTTATACGGGCATTTTTTTGGCCGACGCCTACGGGCTCAACCCACGATAAACTCGGCCTTGTGCCTACATGCAACCCTCGTGGGCGGGTGGCTAGATACCGAATCAAGCCGAGCTTCTCGACTTGACGGTCGAACTTTCTGCATCTGAGCAGAAAGGAACCTGGACGAGGTTCCGCCGAAGGGCAGAGTCTCGTTCGGGGAGGTTGACCAACCCGATTCTGTTTTACAGCTTCTACGGGGATTTTTGGCCGATCCTACGGGATCGGAAAACCCACGTAAACTCGGCCTTGTGCCACATCTTTCCCTCGAGGGGGCAAGTAAATATCGAATCGAGTCGAGCTTCTCGGCTTTTTTGACCAACCCGATCCCGTTTATACGGGTTCTACGGGCATTTTTTGGCCGAGCCTACGGGCTCGGGAAACCCACGTTAAACTCGGCCTTGTGCCACATGCAACCCTCGTGGGGGGGGGGGGGCTAGATACCGAATCGAGTCGAGCTTCTCGGCTTGAGGGTCGAACTCTCTGCCTCAGAGCAGAGAGGAACCCGGACAAGGCTCCCCCGAAGGGCAGAGTCTCGTTCGGGGAGGTTGACCAACCCGATTCTGTTTTTACAGTATCTACGGGTATTTTTTGGAAGAGCCTATGAGCTCGCGAAACCCACGTTAAACTCGGCCTTGTGCCACGTGCAACCCTCGTGGGGGGCGGTTAGATACCGAATCGAGTCGAGCCGATAGTAGTTCACTCCAAACCAGACTGACAGTCATACTAACACCTTCCACATCTTGGATTATTATTTCCTGTTGTTCTTCCATTTGCTGCTTATCTCTTCTCCTTAATATATATATATATATATATATATGTTAAGAAATGGACGAGGTCCGACAATTTATTTATTAAAGACATTTTATTATGTTTAACGTTGTTATTTTATAGATACAAGTATTTAAGCAAATGCTCTGTTTATGATAAACAGTATTAAATAACATTTACCGGCCTGAATGTCCGAGAAATTTTCATAGAAAATATTCGTTCTTAAACAGGATTGAACCTGCATCCTATACGGAACCGTCATATACGCTGACGTGAAAGGGACAACCACTCGGCCACCATGTCTACCATTAAGGCACGTCAGCGTATATGATTGTTCCGTATAGATGCAGGTTCGAATTACTGTCTTCTGAACGAATATTTTTTATGAAAATTTCGATTTAGGCCGGTAAATGTTATTTATTTAACTGTTTATCATAAACAGAGCATTTGCTTAAATGCTTGTATCTATAAAAAAAAATAACAACGTTAAACATAAAATAAAATGTCTTTAATATATATATATATATATATATATATATATATATATATATATATATATGTATGTATGTATGTATGTATATATATGTGTGTTTGTGTGTGTGTGGGAATTACTTCAAAGATAATTTTAATGGATGCCCGTGTTTGAGTAGACTCTCCGTTTACATTAAATACCTCTATATTTCTTCAACCAGCCTGCGTTTTTTCTTTTTTCATTTTTTTATTTATTTATTTATTTTTTTTTGATCAAAGCTTTATTAGAGAAGTTATTCTGGTATTTCTATTTTCGTGTTTGTTTTTCATTGGTTAAGCAGGATTCTCATGCATTTGACTTCTTAGATTCTCAAAGCATCTGACGTATGTTCATCTATCACAACTATTGGTTACATAAATTCATCCCCAAATCAACATGCGGACAGCTCAGTAGTTATGTGGCATGTATTATACACGCTTAGGTGATCATGAATCTTTCGATACATGACTGACGAGGCAGATTTTTTTCCTGCTGTAAGTTGCCATTTCTTTCTGCAGTAGACCAGTAGCCATCCAAGGCTATAGAACCCAGCCTGTCTTGCTATTTACCCGTAGCTGTGGGCGGGGATAGAAAAAGAGGATTCATACCTTTCCCAAGTGTATTTACACGTAAATGAATGTAATGTATTCGACTGGAATTCGAACTCGGCTCTCCGATTCCCCAATCCGAGCCGCTATCCTTTACGTAATTTGTCGGATGAGCTCTTCGCCAGGGTACCTAGACTTTATGAATTTAAAGTGCAGTACTAGAATGGCATTGAAATCTCATCAATTTAAAGTTGAACGAGCCAGGAAGTTATATGCTAACAGTTCCTTTTTTCGCTTGTGGAACTCCATATATTAATGCACCTTTAAAATATTGTTAGCGAAGGGATTTCGCCATTTTATATCATTAACTTTACTAATCTACTTTTTGTATGAATGATTCATTGCAATATAAATTGAACTGCACAATATATCTGATATATATATATATATATATATATATATATATATATATATTTTTATGTTAGGATATTAAATAAAAAAATGTCAAAATCGCTACACAATTGCAGTCGTTTTTTCGATGTGTATCAATGCATCTCATCATGCAATTGTAAATTACTGGTGAGTGAACGATTTAATCAGATTTAAAGCCAATTTACAGCCTCTATTTACGAAAAAAGAAAAAAAAGAAAAGGAGGGGGTGGTTATAATTTTTGTGGGCTTTGCTTGCATCAACCAATCAAATAAGACATACGTTAAATTTAAACTAAGGAAAGAAGCAAAAATAAAAAATATATTTTCCATAAATGAGTCATGAGCCGTAGGTTTGCAATCAATAGCTGCAACAGGCGTTAAACTGAAGCGGATGTAGATGGATATATATTTTATATTTAGACGATGTCATTTGCTCCGAAAAATGAAGTGATAATCTATCAAAATTTTAGACAGAGTGATATGCTTTGAGGGTTTCCTACACAAAAATACATTTTTGTAGTTGATAAATAGCTTCTTTAAGAAACCAGGAAATAATTTAAACGTATAGACTTAATTGGTAAATTAATAAGCAACTGTTGACTAAAGATTCTTTATATAAGGTATCACTAACCAATCAATGCAGAATGGCAAAATAACAACCAGATGCCAATACATCCGTACAAGTTGCTACAAGCGCTTATATATATATATATATATATTTATATATATATATATATATATATATATATACATTTCATTGAATACTACTGACAAAGGTGCTTTGGTTTAGGTTTTTGTATAATTTCTCATGCGATCTAATAATTTTTTTCAGATGATAGATAATGAACAGTCTCAGATAGATAGATAGATAGATAGATAGATAGATAGATAGATAGATAGATAGATGAACAACCTTAGATAGATAGAGAGAGAGATAATGAACAATCTAAGATAGATAGATAGATAGATAGATAGATAGATAGATAGATAGATAGATAGATAGATAAAAGCAGTTTCAGATAGATAGATAGATAGATAGATAGATAGATAATGAACAG